AAAGAACTATGTTTGACGGTACTAGTCGGTCAGTTGAGACTTGATGTTGGTTGGCTGAAGATGAAGTATATTGTTCATTGCATGATAAAGAACCTTAGTTGGTTTGGGTGGATTGCATATTTGATGTGCATCTAGACATTTTTTTTTTTCTATGTTTTTTATATTTATGACAGATGGTTTATATAGGCTAGGATAGTATTTTAAAATTACAATGATATTATAAAGAATTTTGAAATAACATCACATTGCTAAGTTGTGACATGACTTAACGTTGTTAAAGTTGTGATATGATAATACACTGATTTGACACTAATTATACTAATAAAGCTATGAAGTTACTTAACAATGATTACGACTTATCAAGTTATGAGATTGAAACTAACATTTGGATACAAATTACAATTGTTAATCTTCATCCTACATAAGACTGTTAAACGATTAAGGCAGCTCGGGAGCATCTCAAGCTTGGCTTGATTTTGGTTTGGCTCGAGCTCTTTCATTTTGTAAAATGAGCTCAATTTGCACAAAAAATTGGGCTCATTTTTAAATCGAGTTGTTCCAACCCAAGCCCGAGCTAGCTCGTTTACCCTTTTATATGTTTTTACATTTTTACGATTTAAACAAAATAAAACAACTTGAGAGTTTTAAGGATATTTTTGTAAAAATGTTTAAAGTACATCCAAATCTTATCTAAATCTTTATAATGATATCACATCAGCCAACCACTCAAACACCCATCCATGTGAAAATCTCTCTCTTTCTCTCTCCCCCTTCCCGATAAAGTAAATATACCTTGAGCCTCAAACCCATCCATCCCCCCACCCCTAACCCTTCATTGCTTACCTTTTTCTTCTAATCCTCTCAGCAGTCAGTCTGTCCAACTCCCTCTTCCTCTCTCTTTCTCCCCCTCCTCTCTCTCTCTCTCTCTCCCTTTCTCTCTCTTTTCAAATGACTCTCTTTTCTCTCATTGTTTTTTCCTCCATCCTTTGCACCAGTATGCTCTTCCTCATCAAGTATGTTGCAGCCTTTGGTGTCTCCAAATTTTATCTAAGAGAAGATGAAGTTGTCATGATTCATGAGACCATGGAATACTTTGATAGAGTAATATACGAAAAGCTTATTTTTTGTAGTGAAATTCATTTTATTAATTAATAGAATTTTGTTCTTTCCATTTTATTGAGAATATATATGCAAAAAATGTTTGCATTATATTTAATATATGGTATGCATGTGTATTTTATATTTTACATTGTAGATAATTTAGTGTGCAGAGTTCGGATTATGCACAAAAGACCAAATTATTGGATTCTTGTATAATATGAGTATAGGTTCACAATCCTAGATGAAATTGGACACACCATCAGTATGATTGTAATGTATATTCTGGCATAGTCTATCTTGACTATAAGAGACTGTTTAATGTCTCGAATTATTGCACTAGTACACTTTGTGTATTGAATATATTCATGTTGATGTTATTATCTTTTATTAATTCAATAAGATAATAAATACCTCAGGATTATTATGATTGTTTATACTCTTAATCTTGAAATATTTAATTTTCACGTGCATATAATGTTTGTCAATTTAATTCATCAAAGAGTAAGATTCATATTAAGTCAATAAGCTTGGTGAATTGAGAGACGGTGTTATTTGTTTGGTAAAAATTAATTATTAAAGAAAATCACATCCTATTATTTAAATGGGTTGATGATGTCCTCTTAAAGAAGTTCATAAGTTTTGTCCATGTCAAACTCTGCAGGTGTATTTAATTATCCAACATGACAAATAAGTTGAGTGGCAAGGTCTCAAGGAATAAAATAAGTCAATTAAATATAATTGTTAATAATTTATTTAATTGATGGACATCTATAATTTTAAACATTGAGAGATTATTAAACATATAATAATAAGGAGCTCAAATATAATTTTGAGATAAGGCTTAGGAGATCAATAATAAGTTTTTAATGGATTGACTTATTATTAATGGACTGTAGGATGTTTATTCTAAGTTGAACATAGGAATCATAATCCCATTGGAAGTCCAGTCCTTATTTCTCCTTAGGGTTTCTGTTGTAGCCTATATATAGATGTTTAGGCTCTCTAATTCAATATTTATTCTTTTCTCACATTTTTTAGAAAGAGGATGAAAGAGAGAGCAAAAATTCAGAGGTTCTGCCAGCCTACTCTGCATCCGGACTTTGATGTTGGGAAATATAAGATAGAAGGCCATGAGGTTCGTCGAGCTGTCTTCTGTGTTAGTTATTGGGTTATGCGTTCGTGCTAAGACAAGATCAAGCCAGAGCAATCTCGAAGGTAAACCCAAATTCTGTTTTGTAGGGTTTTAAATAAAAATTTTTAGTATTCGATACATACACGCTGTCAATGATTCTTGAGATTTTCATTCCAACACACTTAAACAAAGGTTGTGTGGTGAATTTTTTTTTATTTAAATGTTGTACTCTATTGTAAGTTTGGTTATGAACTTGTTTTTAGTCTTGGTCTTTGTATAAATCAAATCGGAAACCTAAGAATCTAAACTTGGCATTCATGATTTGTGTTTGTGGATTTAAGATTTTTTATTTATACAATGTGGATTTGGGATTAATTTTGAAAGCTCTGTTTGAGATTGAGCTCGAGCTCGAGTTTGTGTCAAGCCGAGCTTGAATAAAATTCTAGGCTTGGTGTCCAAGCTCAAGGTGAGCCTGAACAACCCATCATCAAATCGAGTCAAGCCTAAGCATACTGAAACTTAGAGGGCCTGACTTGATTAACACCCTTAATTCTACATATAATCATCTAGTAGGTATTGCTCATTAGACAAAACAGTATTCACTTAACTGGTATCAACTCTCGTCCATATGTTGTTCCCACAATTTTTGTTGCTAGTTGGAGCATATAAAATCAACACCTATGCACTATCATCCTATTATTCTCTATTCGAACTCGTTTCATTACTGATTTGTAGTCCTCCTTATTCCTTCGTTGCATCATTAGTGAACATCTATGTGACACTAATATGTCAAGTTCTCATAGTTGTGTGAATAATGCATCCGATTCTATAGCATGAAATGCTCACTCTCGTCGTACTCCTGCATAATACTCTTTTGGATCGAAAAAAACTCTCTCTTGTAATCATTGTTTCATTTTTTTAAAAACCAAATCCATTCAAGTCTACGATTATTATAGTCTGTAGATCCACTTGATGTCCAATGTATACTATATCAACCACGTATGAGGTATATATATAGTGGTTTCAATGGATGATTGTACACTATCAATGTTTTGTTAATTCAACACATGGGTTGCTAAAAAGATGATTCAAGGCTAGCTATGTAATACTCAATAATGACACTGTTGTTCAGCCATATCAACAGTGTGTAGTCATTTCATGAATATGTCACTTCAGCACATGGTTTGTTGAAAAATTTACCAGTAAATATTCACACAGTGTTGTGGTAAATCATTAGTGTGTAGTCATGTAAGGTCATCAATGTGTAGTCAGACATCACACTCATATGAGGTATTTTCACCGGTACATAATCGCTTCATCACTGCATCACAGTCTTCATCCTTACCAGATGTGTTTAATCATTGCATGAGTGTGACGCCTATGTTCTCTCTGCATTAGTGTCCATGAAAAATCATGTTTTGTCACTTCAGCACATGGTTTGCTAAAAAGCTCATTAGTCCATATTCACACAGTATTGTCAACTATGTGTAGTCACTATGCCATATGGTTATCAACTGTGTGTAGCTGGAGGTGCGACACTTGTGGAAATGATTTCAATTAATCATGGTTTTGCCACTTCATCACCAATTTCATTAATTCAGTGTTTTGTCATTTCATCACATGGTTTGCTAAAAAGTCATGCAATTGCAATTGCATGAGCAGTAGCTTTGGGACCATTCATTCAACGTGTGTAAACAACTCATTGTACACAATTCATCTCGAACCATGAGTTACAGTCCACAAACGTTATTTTAAATTATGGGTCGTCATTGGGCGTTAGAGGATGAGCTCTTCTATTCATTGAATCATCGTTTACGTTCTAGTAAGGGCATAAGCACAATGATCACCGAATTGCAATATCGTTTGACGGAAAGAAAAAATTTAAGTACAGATTTATGCATTGAAATATACGAAGGGCTCAACAAATTGCCATTAATATGTTAGTTGACACTCCTCAAGAATTTGAGCAAACATTGTTTCATTTTTGAGTTGAGAACAATTTCAAGACAATCTGTTTAAAACTATACAACATCCGTCGTATCGCACGGGACCGTGCTAAAGAAAGCTTGATAGAAGAAGCACGTCTAAGTTTCCTCTTGAGTGGGGAAATTGGATGTATTTTTGTTATCGATATGTCTGGCGAAGATATAGTCACATGCACCATGAACAAGTGTTATGTTACTATAGCGCTATAACATCTAGACAATATAATCATTGTTCTGTTTGCATTATGTTGTTATATTAAATGTGTTGTTTGAAGGTTATTGTTAATTATTTTTTTAAAATAAATTATGTTGAAGTTAATTTAAATGTGTTGGGTACAATATTGATATTCTATGTGACAAAATGATTAAACACTACAGTTAAAATTCATAAAATGATTAAGTGAGATCATTTAAAAATTAAACATCTATATAATACAACTGCCAAAATACGATAAAAAACTAAGTGTCATATGGAGGTGGTTGCCTGTGTCACTTTGACTGTCCTCGATACTCATGCTGAGTCTCATTTGGTCCCTCCCATGTCACCTGTGATACAGCACATCATCGCCATGATGTGGATAATGTCCATGACCCTTGCCTTGGCCCCGTCGTCCACCTCGTACTCTTGGTTTGACTCTCCCATTACCTTTGCCTAGAAGTGTATCCTCTTGTATCAATCTCTCCTCATGTAACATAGGATCTAGTAAAGGATACTCAATAGAAAGTGTTGTATGTGATGTGTGCAATGACATAACTGCTAAAACTATTTGGTGGCATTGTAGAATATGATGGTGCCGGGTGCAACTGGAGGTGAACAAAAGGTAACATCTACAATTGTAGGAGAAGGTGTCACTGCAACGATAGGTGGCAGAACTACTGAGAGGACTAGTATCGATGCGACATCTGCTATAGGTGGTGGTGTTGGTGGTAAAGATGTGGAAGAACATGGTTTAAAAACAAGCATTGGTGGTGGTGCTAGTGCTAGTAGCGGTGTTGATGCCTATGCTTGGGACGGTAGTGGTGGGCATATAGATGGAGGTGGTGGTCGTATAGGTAACAGAGGTATAGTTGTGGTCACTGATGGTGAAGATGCAGGTAGTCGGCGGCTGTGAAGATGTAGAAGTAACATCAGATGTTGATACTAAAAATTTCACAAGTCGTCGCTACTTATAGATTGATGCCAAACCCCTAGAGCTTAGATTTTTTATATGCCCAAGAGTCTGCGCGGAAAGTGTCAAATCTGGCTACTCTCATAAATAGTCTGTGAAGTATGATATATTCTTGTGAGAGTATTTTCCTACAAAAAAATAAAAAATATATTTATTATAGAAAACAATAACACATTTATTTATTAGAAATAAAATAATAAATTATTTAAGAACAACTTCCAAGTCATATTAAATACGCCAAATAAAATATCACAAATCTGAAACAACTTCAAAATGGGACACACTACATTGTCGAAAATGCTCATCCAAAATAATCTCCTAGTCACATCAAACCCTTAGAACTAAAACATGCCAAAAAAAAAAAAATCGAGAAATCTGTTAAACACAATTGGGCTTGAAAAATTAGCTCATTAGATGCCTAACAATCTAATGATTTAGTCATATGCATAGGATTGATTTCATCACTATTTTCGAACTCAAGAACCATTTTATGATTAACGAATGCTCCCACTTTTTTTAGGTTGATTAATCTATGCTATATATATAAAACAATTATTTTATTAGGGAGGGGGCTTTATTGGAGTAGCGTAAAAAAATTTCACCATTTAATTTAAATTTTTATTAATGATTCTCTTTATTTTTTAAAAAAAAATTTAAAATATAAAATAATAATTTTTTTTCAACAAAAATAGAAAATAGTATTTGAGATAAATTTCAAACTATGTATCTTGTAGATCAAAAGACGACTGATAGAGTGGTTGGTATTTTTCTCATCTTTTTCACATATATAAGGTTAAATCTCATCAACTTTAATCCCCTGCATCTACTGTGGCCAAAATAAAATAAAATTATATATCTTGTCTAGAAAATAATAAAATAACAATTAATTCGGCAACAAAGGTTTGGGCCAGGGCCCATAAACAGCCTGCCGTAGGCCCTGGGCTTGCAACATTAAGATACAAGGACATTGTCGTTATTCAATACTACGCACAAGGCTATTGTTGTCAATTAACAAGAAAACAGGTCAAGCTACTATATATCATCGTAAACCTCTTGCATCGCCAATATCATCGAAGAAATCCTAGGTTTTACTCTCTTCTTCCTAAATCTCCACTTTTTTCCCTTCTTTTTCTGCTAAATTAAGATTTTTTCTTATCAGAATGTTCGATTTTTGGTTAACACTTTCGATCATGTATATGCGCAGCCCTTAAGATCGACTTTCACTTTCATCCATGGAAGCGTTTTGAGTCATAGCTACGCTATATCAACCATATATATACACAATACATATATATTGCGATATATATATGTATTTGCATATGTTTTTTGAGGTTTCTCTTTAGGGTTTTCCTTTCGAGTACCCTCTTTGTCCCTCCTGATTCTCTCTACTCTTGAGGCATTTTTTTTCCTTTTTCGATCTGTATTTTCCTATTTACTTGAACCCTCAGATAATTCTAGTTTTTTTTTGGCTATTTATCTGTTGCTGGTTCAAATAACTGGGTTTTCAGGTTGAAAAGTACATTTGAAATGCCTCAAATTTTAGGTGGGGTACATTCATATCCTTCTTTGATTTTTCTATTTTTTTCCCTCTTTTATGGAGTTTTATTTGTTTTTTTGACCAAAAAAAAAATACTTCGAAAATATTGGTATTGTAAAATATGAGGATTTTTTATATATGGGTTGGTGGCAAGAATGATGAAGATTATTAGATGTGTGAGAGGTGAATTCCTCTATGAGCTCAAACTACTGAGGCTTATTGATATTCTGACTTGCAAATTAAATTTTAATATATTTTTCTTTGGTCTCTGTTGGTTTCATTATATGTGAGAAATATCTTAAGAGAAATTATGTGTAATTATGTGTTCAGCTTCTAAATAGATTGTAAATTCCTCAATTTAGTGTGTGGTAAATTCATATATTTCTTGGATTTTTGTTTATTTTCCTCTTTTTTGAAGTTTTATTTGTTTTTTTGATCCCAAAAAAAATATTTTGAAATTATTGGTCTTGGAAGAATCTGTTCGGAAAAATATGGAGATTTTTTCACATCTGGAGGGTGGCAAGAATGATGAGAATTATTAGATGTGTGAGAGGTGAATTCCTCCATGAGCTCAACTTCTGTGGCTTATTGATATTCTGACATGCCACCCCTTGTGGAAAAAATCCAAATCAAATTTCAATTGATCTCTCTTGTTCATTGTATATGAGAAATTCTCTGCTGGTATAAGGTTGATGATCTATCTTGAAGAAAATTATAAATTTTAACTTATGTTTTAGAATTTTAAAAATATATATTTTTTAATTTTTTAGAATCTAATCCTGTTAAAAAATGTATCTTTCTACTCTTGATATATGCATCAACAAGCACTCTTCAACATTTATCCCAATACTTTAAAATAATTATTTTATATTTGATCAATTCAATTCATACGTATGTTAAGGGGTACAATTATTTTTTTGTATCATTAGTCCTTTAACCCATCTTTCTAAACTCATGTTTGACGAAATTTATGATCATGAGTTTAATCTTTGAGTTAGATATGGGTTGGGTTCGAAAATTCGGATTGAATTTTCAGTTCAAATATGATTTGGGGGTGTTTTAAACTATATTCTGCCAAGTTTTTCCATACCGTGTAAGGAATTGACCCGAAGATTAAAGGAATTGACCAAATACCTTAGGATATAGATAAGAACGTTAAAATTTTAAACAGTAAGATACAAATAAGGTTAAGTCTTAAATTGCATTTAGAGTGTGTTTTGGATGTCTTATGAAATTAAAATTTTTTTTTTTAATAAATATTTATCAAAAGTGTTTATAAGAAAAAATATTTTTATTAAATAAGTATTATCTGGATATTTGATATTTAAAATGTTTAAAATAATATATTATATAAATAAGTATGTGTGGATGGGAAAATATTTATTTGTCATAATTGTTAATAGTATTTACTGTACATATACAAATATACACTATACATATAATGATAGATAAAAAAAAATATTGGCGGGACTTAAGACGGCTTAGCAGTCCTCGAATCGACACGTGTAAAATTATAGTTGTTATAGAGCTCAACAGAAGTTGAGGAGTGGAGCCGAGTATTCAAGTTGACACCTGCATTTAATGTGACTTGACTATTTATTTATGACGATGCGAATGATGGAGACAGTGTCATTGATGAGCTCTTGTATTCTCAGACTCGTGGTCATGATGGCTAGACATTAATATTTACTACGCCGAGTATAACTCTTCAATGCGCCCCAACATACTGTTCCCCCCCCCCAAGCATTGAATACAGAAGTAGGTGTCAGACGTCAATCATAAACTTTTGAGTGCTCAGGAATAGTCATAGGTGTTCGACGTGTCTTCGAGCACTTGTTCTATCATCCTAGCATTGAATATGTGAAAATTTGGGTGGAGATTTTCGTGCGTAGAAGTTTCAGGCATTAAATGTTCAGATAAGACGTGAAGTCTTTACACTCATTGCTATTCTAAGTATAAATACTCAACAGAAAAATAAACAAAGGTACGTAATTTGAAATCACGATACATAATATATCGAGCTCAAGCCTCTTATTTTATACTGACTTAAGATTCGGAGAGGATAAATCGGGTGTTCACTTGGCTCCTTTTTCTGACTCTGTGATTGTCACAAGTCTACCAGACTAAGGGCCACTATCTCAAACTATTGAAGGAATTCTCCCGTGCAAATATCATATACAAATATTATAATAATAATGATATCATACGAAAAAATTACATAGTCTAACTATCCCAATGATATGTTAAAGTTGCAAAACACATGTTATTAGTAACTACAATCAAAATGATGTTTCATTATCCTTTAAAATTGTTGAAGTTTACGTTTTTTCTTCTTAAATAATGGATTTGTACCTGACAAATCAATATCCTTTTTAAAAGTAATTTGGTTTACATTGTCTTATTCCTCTAACTCCACGTCTTCATTAGCATATCTTTCAAGTAATATGTCTTTGATGCTATAAAGCCTTATGTAATTATGACAAGTCATGCAAGTAACCATAATAAACATTTACTCGGTGAAATCAAAATAGTGCATTTGTTGTAAAGTTAGAAATCTTTTATTTAATACTCCAAAATATCATTTAATCACATTCCTTAATGAAGAATGTGTATGATTGAACAATTTTTCTTTCTCATAAGGTCTTTCCTCTCTACGAAATTCGGGTAGATATCTCATTTCATTATAAAGAGTATATTAGGGAAGTCAATGTCTACCATATAATATTTTAAAAAAAAAATAAAATTATTAGTTATTCTATATAGTTAAGAATGCAAAAAAATTTTATCAACGCATTCTTTACTTATACTTGTAGGTGGTTTTGGAAAGTATAAATACCTATTACAAATGCAATGTAGTAATACTTTGGAGTCATAAATTGCTCATTCCCACCCTGCATTGACAAATGTGAAAATCATGTTAAAAGAACATGTTGTCAGGACCATTTATGTGCATATTTTTTTCCTACCTCTAAAAGGGCTCTGTTTTAAAGTAGGAATATGAGCGCTAATATGTGTGCTATACAATCTTTAAAATATGGATAGTATTTAGGGCTTAATTTGATCTCTTGAGGGATGTAATTGAAATTTTGATGAGCTTTGATGATTTTTATTGAAAGTTTGGTCATCTTTAATAAAATATCATTGCAATATTGATTTATTTTATCCCCAGAATGTTAATATCATTATCACATCATTCTATTTTGCTCATTGTGACCAATAGTGATTAAAAATATAATCAGTTTTCTCTTGACTTTACACATTTCTGCTATCATACAATAAGTTCATTTTTTTTCATTCACTTGCACAATGAAATAAAAACATGTTTTTTCATTCAAAATTATTCAAGGGATACACGATCATGATCGTTAAGAATCTCTAACACATAATGATGACCAGTTATGACAAA